AAAATACCAGGAAATACAACGAATCGTTTTCAAACACTATAAAAAAAATTTTTTAATTTATTTTTTTATTTTTTTTTATTTTAAATGGTTAAGTTTAACGGTAATCAGAATGGGTCATGGATGAAAAAATATATGTATACTTTTTTTTTTTTTTTTAGTGAAACTACTTACATGTGGGAAATGTGCTATATAAATGAAATGGAGCTCTCTCAAAAATCTGACATATATTCCAAAAAATAAAGTAAAAAAAGCATCTCTAATTTTTTAACTGTTGTTCATGCATTGGATTTTTTGTTATGTAGTACTGCATGTATTGAAACTGGCAATGGAACAAGTCTAAATTTAAACCTTCATCAATACATTGACGCCGTGAGCAAACCACCAGCCAAGTGGGAATGTTTGAATATGGAGCAGGACTTGCACGTCCGACCCAATCATTAGATTCCCAAATGAGTATCTATTGGATCAGTCTTGCTCTGTTACATGTTGTTTTGTAGTTTTATATGGGAAAGACTGTAGTGACTTGTCTTGTTAGCCCTGAACCCTTGTATTTGCATCATCAAACTTGCATATGAAGCTTCAAATGAGAATCAAAATGTTTACATCATTAGCTTTGGTGATGTTGTGCTGTATGTAAGACAACAGCGTTTCTGCATATCTTGCTTGTGTTTTGCTCTTGTGGTTTTGTATCTCTTTAGTGTTGTGACTATTGGTTGTCTTTTATGCTTGCTGCCATTGGAAAGTGCAATGTCTCTTCCTCTTTTTCCTGCTGTGTCCAACCTTGCGTTATTCTGAGCTGCTGTTAACCCAGTCAGGAGTATTTCCTTATTGAGTATTAAGTATTGCTTATGGATTTTTTTTTTTTTTTCGCACTCCATCTGTCCAATGATTGCACTGCATATATCTACTTTGCAGGTTATATTCCTGGTATTGCACTTGACTGTACATCAATAATACAATACCCATGAAATAATATAGTATTGATTATATTATTAGAAATAAATCCTTATAAAAACAAATTTAGATGCATGTTATTATTAAATTAACATACATCACCTATATTAAACATTTTTTTTTTGGTTCACCCCTTTTTCCTTTTTGTATTTTTACAGGAATCCTAATAACTTTTTTACCTTTAATTCCTTTTCAAGCCATTACTTCTTGTTTTACTTAATACATTTTCCCCCATCTTCTATCCTCTCAAAAGCAGCGTGTCGATTAATTAATAGCTGGCTAATTTAATTTTCCTAAAAGTAATAACTTGTTTAAGCACGAATAAAGACTGACAAGGCAAAGTTCTAATCTGCTCAAAGTTTAATTAGTCTCAGCGAGGTTTGCATACAAGCAGACGTGGGGTCAGGGGGAGAGGACACCCGAGCGAATGGCAATGGAACGGAGGGTTGGGAAGGGTAGAGGACTGGCTCCATCAACCCTGCCTGTGTGCTTCCATCCGTGCACAGGGATCAGCAAGGGATTCTGGGAAAGTTGGAGAGATGGTGTTAACTGTCAAATAAAGACTGGTTTTCCCACTGCTATCCTCCACACCTGTCACCCAGGGCAACCTGTGTGTTGTGGCCTGAGCGGTTGGCTCCCCTGGGTGGCTTTAAGGCACAGCCAAAAATGAAAATCAATTGGCTAAAACTGTTATGGAATGAAGTGAAGAGCCTGCATATATTAGGTATTCGCTTAGAGATCCCTGGGGTAAATGAACAATGAGCTATTGACTACAGCACTGCCCTCTTACTATGACTGCACTTCCCACATGGGCTGGAGAACATAATAGTAAAAATAATAATAGTTTTAAATTATTTGTTGTTATTATTGTTATTGTTGTTGTTATAATTATAGAAATAAATAATATGATATCTAAATATAATATATGACTAGACAATCCAAAATGGACTGAGACAATATAAGATGGACACTTATAACCCAGAGTCTAACCTGAATATACATAAACTGCATAAAATACTAGCTAAATTGGAAATGATTGCCTCTGATTGATAGCAAGGGCTTAGTATGCTGGATACTGAATAATAGCTTTGATTTTTTTTTTCATCCCCTAATACGCACACAAAGCTTATTTCATTCATTACTGTCATTTTGATCAAATTATTATGACACTGTCACATGAAAATCCTCCATCTGCATGTCAAAAACTGAATTCTTACCTACAATGAAATGGTCAAATGGACATTTTGACAGCTGCACAATTGGACATGGAATCAGCAAACAGCATGAACCTTATATGTATATTTCCATCCATATCACACCCCAGGGGCATGACAGTTGAATGAAAATGACATGAAGCAAATCTCTTGTGCCAGCCCTCCATCACAGATGAGAAGAGCAGAGAAAACGCACAGCGCCCAGTCTTAACACATCTTTCCTCTTTACTTTAGACAGCACCAAATGTCAGATACTCATCTGGAAATAATTTCCATTCTATTATGGTGACAAGGGGCCAGCAGAATCTAATTAGCTGGAAAAAAAAAGGTGCTAGAGAGCCGGATTGGGAGTGATTGGTGATAGGGGCAGTGGTGCAGGGCCAGCTCTCCAGCCTTCAGGCTCAACGGGAACACTCCTGAGGTTAACTGCAACTCGAAGGAAGGAGATAAGAAAAGAAGAGAGAGGGATTCAGGTGCCGTATGCCAGAGACAAAGGTCTCTGTTGGTTTCTCAGAGCCCAAACTCTGAATTTTCTTCCCTGAGTGATATTAAAAGAGAAATATAAGATCTAAGAGCAAAAAGGGGACATGTATACTTTGGCTTTCATTATAGACTCTTTTTTTTTCTAAAAACTATTTTCTATAGCTTGATCATATCTATCTATCTATCTATCTATCTGAAAAAAAAGTGTAGAATGTGTGAATAAAAAAAGAGAATGATTTCTAGTGTGTTCTGTGATGGTCCAATATTGGGTACAAAATAATGGCATTTGCTGCCTCAAATCACAGGCCTTTCATAGAGCTCAGACATTTCAGGAAATAAATGTTTCCTCCTCGAGAACTCGCCATTCTGCCCTCTTTTCACATGCACACTATCAAAGTAATCTAATGTCACTTTGAGAGGAAAGGTTAGGTTCAGTTTTTGCATTTATATTTTCCAGTCAGAGAGTTTGACCTTTGCAGATCAGAACGTTATTTTCGCTTCTTGTGATGCCATCCAACTTCAACAACCTTTTATAGTGAAGATTAGCATCCATTGCACTGATTGGTTACAGTGAACAAGGGTTAGAATAGGCTGTAGAGTTGTTCGTGCAGCTTTGATTTATTACAAAAGTGAAGCTTCATAATACATCTGTGATGATCTCAGTTATACTTTTAAATAGTAAAGTTTCTGTTTAATTTGTCTAAAGGTTTAGTCAATGAATTCTGTTTAATGCTGACTAGTGTCGAGTTTAAATATATATATATATATTAGGACCAATTGACAATCTTGCACAATTGCATTCTTCCGAATCAACATGTACCACTGCCAATTTTTATCATATGGACTCATTATGATATTAACTTTAGGGAGATCATTGCTTCTGCCCAGATTAATACATGATATAAGCTAACTGTATGATTTGTATTGTCTTAGAATTATTCATTTTTGACATATGGATATTACTTTGACTGCAATACTTCAACACAGAGACAAAGACCAGTGTTTAAAAGAACATGGCACAAATCTTGATCCTGATTCCCAAATGAATGGCTCTTGTTAGACTGTTTCTTGTGGTGAATCAGAAGCATACAGTGCAACCAGTGAATTCTGAATCGCGAAGTGAATATATTTTCCACTAATTGTTTTAAATGTGCTAAAATTACCTCATTGTTCTGTTCTCATTTCTTCCAGATCTGAGGCCTCTACCTGACGTGGCCATGACGGGAAAATGCACGCGCGAGTGTACGGAATACGGCCACTCGGATTCCTGCTGGATGCCCGGACAGCCCTCACCCAACCGCACCAAGAGTGACAAGAGTGGGCCCAAGCTCTCCACCTTCGTGCCTTACCAGGAGAGGGAGGGTCAGGAGCGTCTGATGGCTGACAGCAGCTCTAAGCCTCATGGAGAGGAGCGGAGCGGAGGCGGGAGCAACAAAGTGGCCAGCATTCGCTTTTTGCCTCCCTACACTAGTGCCTATTCTACAGGCGGCGACTCCGGCAAGGACTGCGCCCGTGAGGAGATCCCCCTCAGTCAGACAGCCGATTACGTCCCTGCCACTACACCCTCCAACCAAGGCTCCAAAAGAGAAATCTACCTGTGATTCATCTGTCATCCGCCTAGGTTCGATTCCACATTTGATCCAATTTACTTGTGATCAGCAATGCCTGTGAGAGGATAAAAAGGCCTCGTTTTCAGAACACCTGCTAATTCTACTACACCACCAGACGCCGATTTACACTCAATGTGCATCTCCAATCCCCTCAATCCACAATCCTAATGGCTGACACAAAACAGCTAGAGACCTTCTTTAAAAACCTTGGGGTTTTATACAACCCTGCACGTTGCTAGAGGCTCTGGAAGCCAAATAGGGAAAGAAAAGAAAATAGAAAACAAGTTTGTGAATATAAAATGAAGAACACAATCCCCATGTACACATCTAATGAATGAATGTAAGGACATTTTTTAAGTGAACATTGTGATAAGTTAATGTCAAGGTTATATTCCTATTTGATTCTGAATTTTGTTTGTTTATATATAAATATATACATATATTACTTATGATCAGACTAGTTATGCTTACCTAAAAACATGTACACTGACCTACACATCCAAATAGTACCTTTTTGTTCCTTTATGTGTGTATCTCTACTATGAACTCGAGCCAGAAGAACTGGCAAACCAAATACTGGCAAACCAAGAGTGAAATACATTCTCACAATGTATAATTTACTGTAGAGAAAACATATTCACCTTTCTTAAAGCACTGAAGGGTAATTGTTTCTTACATTTGTCTTTTTTCATAGGAAACTCTTTTCTTAATGTACAGTGATGTAAATACCATACGTCTGACAGAACAGTTTTGATTTATGATTTAGCTGTACAGACCCGCATAGCCGTGACTTCCTTGTGTTGATGGTAGTAGAAGGAACATTGCTCAGAGGATTTGCCTCCCTGTTAGTAAAAGAAGGACAACAGTTTTGGACCACGGAATGCTATAGATAATCCATCCGTATGAGCCTCCACAGTTTGGCTTTATGGGAATCACACGAACATGGAATTTGGGGCAAAATCCAACGGAAACAAATGAATTCCAGCAGGTTTGCATGATGCCATTTGTCATTTCGGACAAATTTGACAGGCTTCATCGGTTCCCATAGGAAGCTCTCCCAGTGACTGTGATAGTCTTTTGCTTCATAAGAAGACGACATACAAGAAGGTTTTAGGTGTGTTGCCCTCTGGAAGAGCTTTGTTCAACCCATCCAATCATTTGGAAGGAGGAACAACTTTTACAAAAAAAAAAGAGAAAAAAAAAAATACCTGAACTGTCCATGTGCTGTGCAATAGCCTACTCATTTTTGGACGTGTCAAACTCTGTTGTGTAGATGTGTGGTTTTGTCAGAGATTTTTGCTCTACTCTGTGGTGACCCTGTCAAAATGAATGCAACACACGAGATAGAAATGTTCAAAAATCATGACAGCAGAACATTTCTCTCGTGTTTGACCACATTAAAGTTGTATTCAACAAATCCAGTATATTCTAGAACATCTGTTTTAAGTGTACTTTGAGCATATGACATAAGACTCCTGAAGCGAGCTTAAGTCTAAATTGTGCTAACCTATTCCCGCAATGTCACGCTCGTCTAACCAGGGAGCTTTTGTTGGAAATGCTCATTTCCACATCTAAAAGCAAGGTCTTTCAGAAAGTTTACAGGAAGTTCATTTAGGGCCGTTATTAATAGCGGCTGGCGGTAACAGGGATTGCTTCAGTTGCAACGCAGGTCAGCAAAAGATATAATGAGTATTCGAGGCCTGAGCTATACACACGCTAAGTGCACTATAATTTACACCATGTCACACAGCTAAGTCGCCACTTAAAACCGACTCTGGTGAAAAAAACGGGGATATTGCCATTAACTCTGTAGGTGTCGATTCAACGTTCTCAGAAATTTGTGCTTTGGGTTCAAAACAACAGAAACAGAAAAACAACAACTACAGACAAAGTGACCCAACGCTAAAGGCTGTTGTCTCAGGTGATGGATGTTTGGTGCAACACTTCAGACATTGCACTTCCTTTTGTGAGTTTGAATTCATTTAGTTCACAGCTGACCCCTTTATTTGAAGACTGGAAGACCAAACACTTAAATGACTAAGTAAATAAAGACGTATTTCCAGTTTTACTGGGTCTTTGGTCCCTGTGTGTCACATGACACCATTTTTTTTTTATTTTTTAAACAAGCATTGCTGAGCTTGTGACAGACCTGAGGAGATACCATTGTACGCATATAACTTCCTGTTCTTTGTAATCATCCCAGCAACTACTGACCTTCGAGCCGTTTCCTGCAGTGACAAACAGAAGCTGGTCAGGACCTCAAATGCTGTATGACAGTTAGACAGTCTTTCACTCCCACTGGGAAATCCTGGAATTTATCCCCGGAGAGCAACTGTCACAGATACTGATAGGTCAAAACACTCGAAGTGTATGTGAACGTGTGCGTCTTTGCGACCTCTGTAACAGACAGTGTAGGTACACAGAGGGATCCGCTCACTGCCTTTAAAGCAAGGAATTTTTAAGCGCTACATATACATTTTGTTTTTTGTTTTGTTTTTTGGCTAGGATTTTCAATGGCCAAATTGTGTTGTGGCATCTCGTTGAATAAAATGGTTCTTACTGTGTGAAACATTGGACAGTGGTGCTGAGAATCTGATGAAAAAAAGTCTTAAGATTGTCATAGGGTGAAAAGCAAGAAAAATAAACATTGTATAAGGGGGGAAATGGTTTAGTGTTATAATCCTGCAATTGTAGCTGTTAGTTTGTTATTTGACAGCAACATGTTTTAAGTGTGGGGATTCTGTCATTTTTTTCAATTCTATTTTTTTTTTTTTGGACAGTTTCTAGGTCTGAATGAATCTGTGGCTCAAAATGTATACTCAACCAATCTTTTTAATTTATTTTGAACTAGTGAACTGCTGTTGTTTCATCCCAAGCATAATCTCTAATTATTTATGTTTAAGCTAATTTAAGATACATTCCACACAACCCTGTTAAACAGTATTGTTATCAGCAATACACTTATGTCCTGCTTCCACGATTTCACACTATTAGAGCTAAATTGACAATAGTTATTTGTTCTATAGGCTATATATACGTGTTGATTTTTTATTTATTTTATTTTTTATGAGGATGTCTAATGCAGCACATAATGTGAACAATCACCTTTTTTTGTACCTACAATCTTTTCTTTAGTCTTGTGTCCACTTTATGACCAGGCCCATATGGAATCTTCTTTTCTTGCCTTGGTATTTGAAGAAAAAAAAAAAATCTGCGTAATGGATTTGAACATGGTAAAATGGGTTAAAGAGTGCTTTAAGCTAATAATTAAGCTCTATCAAATTAGCCAAATATTTCATAAACTAACACACAAGGGGTGGGTGATGTGTATGGCATTTGAAATAATGGGCATTCCAATTCTGTGAAAATCTAGAGCTTTCTGCCTGCACAGATTCCATGTGGGCCAGCTTATGACTTATGTTCAATTTCATCCTACTGTAAGCTCGGTTTTCATTTGTGCTGAATAGTATATTTGATTACATGGAAATCAATCAAATCCAATGTGACATAAGAATCAGTTATTCGTCTGACACATGGACTCATTTTGGAGCTGAGCCACCCGCTGCATTTGTCCAGGTATTAGGAGTTATGAACGAACATGTCATCGTGTTGTAATGTCACCGTGCATAATGAGGCTCACCATGCATCTCTGCACATAATAGAAGTAGAGAGTAAACAGCATCATTCTACCCTGCGAAAAAGATTAAAAACGAAATCGGTAATTTATTTTGTGAAGCGGTGGCTGAGTGGCTTCATTACTCTGACTTTGGCTCTGAAATGATCTGATAGTGCTTTAGCAGTTTGTGGGCGTCTGCCTTCATGTGATCTCGATATTAAAAACTCCAGTATGTAACTAAAGAACAGCCACCGTTTAAATAGATAATTACAGGAAGTAGAAGTTTGTAGCCTAAGTGTTGGTAATATTTATATCGAAACGCTTTTGATGCCTTGTTTTCTTTGTACAGTTTTATGTACATGCTAATAATGTGGCTTTAAAAAAAAATACAAATAAAAGAACAAAAACAAGAACATGTTGAAAGACGAACTGAAATTGTAAAATATTTTTTAAAAGTAGGATATGTTAGAATGAGAGTGGTTGGGGCACAAAGTTGGAGTGCCTGTGTCTAAAATGTCAATTCACTGGCTTCTAGTCTATTTTAAAGTTTTACTGTCTCTTTTAATGAGTCTTTATGAGTTTTTTTTTTTTTTTTTCCTGGGTTTTGTGTTATTTGCAAAACAATGGCTTTGAAGAGTTTGAGCCCTTATTTGTTCCATTATGTTCTTATCAATATCCGCATGTTAAACACGATGAGGAAGAAAAAAAAGAGAAAAAACTAAATTGTCTTTTATTTTTGCTGAGCAAATCAAAGAAATACTATCTTGTAAGTACTCCTTCCTTATAGCTTTACAATAAAATACATTGTGTAAAACATTGTCCTTCATGAATTTTTAGTGGCTTTAAATAGCTTTGATTTCGTTTTATTTCATGAGGGGAAGTGCCTTGAAAATGTGTTCTTTTTAAGTCCATTCTTTGGGGAAAACACGTATCACATTGTACCACCATCTTGCAAACAACTACAAGTGAACTTCCTGATTCAGCACATCACCACTCCAGAGAGCTGCTAAAAAGATGAGTTTCTTTCTTCAGTCTTAGCAGACCTGAATTCAAATTCTCCTAAGGTTCTTCAGCTTGTTCTTAATGTGTGGCATTTGTTCCTTGGGAGAATAAAGCCCTGTTAACCCCATTGGATTTCTTAACGTGCCAGTGGCACTGCCAAGCAGGTTGTTTCATCGATCGACATGCACACAACAGGACCTAGAGTCCAAACACAGACACTGACACTCACCCGATCAAACTGGCTCTAATGCCACATCCATACCATGCCATGCAAATCTCTTGGGTCCCCGGAGATTTGTTGGGTATAGTAAGGATTTTTTAAACCATAAAAGAAATAAGATAAATTTAGGGTCCGTTTACAATGTACCGTTTTCAACTAAATATGTTATGACTTTTTATGTTTTGTCTGTTCGTTTACACGACAACAGCATTTTGGGTGCCTGTAAATGCAAACCTTTGAACACGGGTTTCAAAGTGCAAGTTTTGAAAACAATACCTTTATCGTCTTTGTGTAAGCTACAAAATCGTGAGTTTTTCAAAACGAATTTGTGACGTCGAGCACATGCATACAGTCTACAGACCCCTTTTCAGTTGCTAAACATGGGGACGTTTGTTTTGTAGGCATTGCTTAGGTGGAGGCAGGACAATGCCGCTTCCCTTACGTTAGTTTGTTTTTTAACAATGACTGACGAAAATTAGCCTGGGTTTCCCCATGATGCCTTGCAGCAGCGCAATTTTATTCACACTGCTAAGCAGCCTGGCCACCATGAACCAAATTTTCCCCTGAGATAGGGAACCAATCAAAAAATGGGGAGGGAGCAGCAAGACGATGACGACACATGCGACACACCGAAGTAGTTTGTTTATAGCTATGGATCAATCTTGGCAGCGGACGCAAAGTTACCTTTTGATACAGCGTTTGTGAATACATAAATCTCCTATATCTCTATATAAGTCATCTGATTTTGCTGATGGTTTACTATATTTGGTTTACTGTTTGAGTATTGGGCCAATTTTATTGTTACCACCAAATATTTTACATATTCTTGAAGATATCTTTAAGTCTGGTTTGAGACCCAACCTTAGGTTATCCAACCACTCTGGTCTCGACTAGTGATGGGAAGTCCGGTTCTTTTCCGCGAACCGGTTCTTTCGGACAGATCGTTTTAATGAACCGGTTCAAAAAACCGGTTCACCAGTTCTTTTACGTCATCACGTAATGACGTCAATTCTATCATCCCGGCGGATAAAAATACTTCAAATTAAAGGCATTTGTAATCACAACTTCAGTTAAATAATAGTATGCATTGTCATAATCATCTTGGATAAGTTTCTTACATTTACATTTTGAAAACGAACCTGCTGCAGCCTAGGCGATGTGCTAACGCGGATGTTTTACATGTTTTAAATATATAAAATGCATAAATAGTCTTCATCATTTTATTTGTTATTAAATAAACTTACATTTCGCCGATTCGCCCTCTCATTTAAGTCCTGGGTTCACCCGTACTACTGCGTGCTCATGTATCAGCACAGGATCAGCCGGCCGAAAGAAAGTTCTGTTCAGAGACGGTGCTATCACGCATGCGCAGTATCTCCAGCTCATCGGTTCTCCGTATCGAACGTGTCCGAAAGAAACAGTTCTCGGTTCTGTACTAGTGATTCAAGAACTGCAACAACGAGAACCATAGCTGTGTGCTGAGCTGAAACCTGAATATACAGTCGACAAAACTAAAAAATCGATGCATGTCTGTCTCCAATATAGCCTTCTGTAGCCTATACAGTATACATCATGTTTATAATGTGTTAACATAACGAATTAAACATATATGTTTAATTCGTTATGTTAACACATTATTTACTAAGCAGTGCACCAAACCTTGGCAAGAGTTTACATCAATGATTTATATTATTACTTAGAAATTAAATGAGCTGTTCCTGAAAATATTATTTTAGTATAATAAATGTTTAGTAGTTAAACAGTTTTAGAATCCAATCATTATTTCCAATCGTTAAAATTATACAGTGATACAGTAATGTGATAAACATGTTTCCAAAATGTTTTATTTTGTTACACTTACTCATATGTTCAACTAAAGACATGGAAACGTACATTTCGTCCCTCAGAAAAAAAATGCACGCATGCTCAGCTCATCAACTCATCAGTTCTCAATATGTCGAACGTGTCCGAAAGAAACAGTTCTCGGTTCTGTACTGGTTATCCGACCGCTGTACCTGTATGTTCGGTAGTACACGCATGCGCAGTATCAGCTGCTCGTGCTCATCGCTTCTCTCAGCACCAACATATGTCTCCGTTCAGTGAACTTTTTGAGTTACTGAATAAAATCAAAATGTACTAACGGATATTGGTTTATTTCGATTCGGAGGGACTGTCAGGCATGTCTGAAAGTGAGTAACTTTAGTAACTTGTGGTTTAGCGCTGACGCAAGACGCGAACTGTTTCGAACGATTCAGTCCGATTTAGTGTACTGGTTCGACCGGTTCACTAAAAAGAACCGGTTCAAAAGAACGATTCGTTCACGAACCGGCCATCACTAGTCTCGACTCGGACTCGAGTGAGCTGGTCTCAACGACAACACTGATTAGCAATGTTGAAAACAGTTGTGCTGCTTAATAGTTCTGTGGAGACTGTGATGCATTTTTCTCTGATTCTTAAATGAATAGAAAGTCAGGTAGAACAGCGTTTATTTGAAATTAACATTGATAAATCAATAAATTGACCAATTTAATGAGTCCTTGCTTAATACAAGGAATAATTTCTTTCAAAAAGAAATTAAAGAAAGATCTTACTTACCCCAGACCTTGGAACAGTATTTGAATATGGTACATTACGAAGTGTCACCACAGTTTTGACATCTGTGATGTAGGCATTGAGAGCAACACAAATATCCTGCCAAACATCATCTTTTGTGGTCTATGGATGCATTAAGTCAAAAATTTTGTCAGAATTTTTTATTTTTTTTTGTCCTTTGAACCTGTTAAAGTGTAACTAATCTACCGCAGCAAACTCTAAACTAAGAAGACTTACATTTAAACCAAATGAAATGACACCGTGTTTGCAGAAAGTACAGCTTCACACTGCTGAAGTTGATTAGAAATATATTAACAAAACTAAGATACATTCAGTAAAAGTTTCACAGTAGTTCAAACTCTGCTGCACTTTTTTTTGTTAAGAGTTTATTTCCTTCCGCCGCTGCTGTGTGCATGAGGAGGATTTACCGAGGCCCTGAGTGGCTCCCTTAGGGCAGTGCTTGACTGAGGGTCAGTGTTATCAGCCTCAAGGCCGATACAGCAGAGGTTTTACTCCACAGCACAGTGGCCGCCTTCACCAACTGTAAATATTGGCTCTTCCGTGCAGGCAAATGAAGTGTCTAATGATGGGGTTTTGAAGTAAGCCCTCACCTGCTGCCAGCCAGCCAGTCAGGCAGTCTGAAGGCAGCTGAATATGTGATGATAGAGAGAAAAACTGAGATAGCTTGAAAAAGGAGAAAATAACACTAAAAACGGCACAGTCCCTCAATGAGGGAGAGCGTCACGGGAAAGCGAAATAGGAAGACCTATTTATACATCTGCTGTCGTATTGGAATAAGTAATGCGTTT